CTCACTGCAATCATAACCTCTTTCAATCCATCGACCGCTAAACGATCGAGGAAACATCGTTGATCGCAAATTTCCGCGGTAAATAATACATTCCAACAATCGCCCGTTACTTTAATCGGCACTGCTGGCAAAAATTTTTAAAAAATTATGCGTTCTTATTATGTAATTATTGCGGATAAAAAACGCGATTAGAATCGACACTTCGTGAAACATTCACGCTCTGCGATGTTTTTAAAGCTCGCAGCGGCCGGTAGAGGAGCATGTGTCCTACCGACTGTTACGCGTATTGCTCTATTGATCGCTAGAGTGAGTGACATCTTTTCCGCTCACTCTTTTCGCGCCCAACGGAATGCAAAGTAAATACGTAAATTATTTAATCGCATATTTTATCCGTAATAATTACGTAATAAATGTGCATAAAATCGCAAACTTTTGTCGGGAGTGTCGATTAAAGTGACGGGTGATTGTTGAGAGGTATGTATTTATCGCGAATATTCATAATTAACTACGTTTCATTGATTGTCTGGTCGTCCGTGAATCGAAGCAGGTTAGAATATCAGTAAGTACAGATTTTAATGCACAACAATTTTAGACATGCAAAATGATCGCTACAATTGCTCAGAAAGATTAAAATGTAATGTATTTTTTAGGTGTAACTTGCAGAAAACTCAGGACGTCGGATTTATATCGAGTAATGATCGTGCATACACACGCACACGCACACACACATCCGCGTACGTATCCGCGTACATAATGGTTTTTATTTTTAGGCAAGACTATCATTATTTGTTTTATTCATTATGAGTGTACATTGTAGAGTCAATTTATATCGTTTTATACTATAATTATATGTATGGATGTGTTGCGACACAAAGTACGTTTAACTTGTATTCGTTTCACGTACCGTAGCGTGTCAAATTCGTGATGTTAATTCGCATAAAGTATACGGGTTAATTTTCTTTCGATAGTTGGTTTCGAAACAGAGCAATTATCAAACATTTATTTATTCGAAACCGACGCGTTGGGGTTGTTTTCGTCGTTACGCTTGGTATGCGCGCACATCCTCTTTCTCTCTCTCTCGCGCGCGCGTTCGTGTATCAATGTAAACATTGTGGCCCCCACTTCTCGCATTCCTTTAAGTCGGAATCGGCACGACCTTCTCATTGTACCATTATTATTCGCACGGCGGCACTTATACGAGGTAAATGTGTATCGGCGCGTTATCGTCTTCAATAATACCATTATTATTTCTCACAGTTTTCCGTATCATGTTTTTCTGTCTAATCTATCGCGGAGAGTGTCGAACACGTAGTCCGTGCAATAATATTTCAGTTACATCTTTGTCTTAAAATGACAAAGGACGCGTTGGGAGTATCGCTTAAAATATCGGGCGATTTTCATGTGCGACGCAAACGCGAGTGAGTGCCTTGCACTGCGAGGACCGAGAGGAGGAGGGGGCTCAGGAGGAGCATCGGGCGCGGGGGAACAACGTTTGCGTAATTAATCATTTATTTCTTATTTCTTATTTGCACAAAATATTGCATATAAAATATTAATATAATGTAGCGCCCATAAAATACTTAAAATACTTTATATATTTAGTAAAATATTTACAATAGTTGATATTTACCATTCTTAGAAATATTTTATATATTTATTATTATTTAACTAATTAAATTTTTTTTTAAACAAATATGTGTTTTTTTTTTAAATTATATTTTTGAAAATTTTTAATTCTTAAAAATTTTAATTCTGTATGCATAGATAAACGAATATAAAATTCAATGTGCGCAATAATTATTTCACAAATATTAATCATTTTGAACAGTACTCTAATCTGGATTTACTTTTTTATTTTGCAGATCAACTTTGTGCGCGTAATCGGTGCTACAAAATATATTCGTTCCGTCGTATAGTATAACAAAATGCGCGTCGGGAGTGCCGTTAATGCCGAGAGTTATAGCGAATCTATAGATGAACGCATTTTTGCTGTATGACAAATATTGGGACACGATTTTTTTTGCTTTAGGCTTGGCTCGGGGGAGGGAAAGGTCGGTTTCAATCATAAAATCTCCACTACGGCAAAGCAATCTTCGGTTCTACGTGCAGCGCGCTAGTTGTACAGATAGCCGGACTGTCGAAGGTAGTCGAGGACGGCTACCGGAGTTAGTCAAACGCTACCGATTGCTTTTCAGATGTCTTGTATCTAGTCGGTTGATTGGATGACTAATCACCTCATCTTCTTCGAGCTTATTTTTGCCTTCTGTTTTGAGAGAATCGTGCCCCAATTGGTAAATGTGGTCGTCTGAAACGCGGACGGAATTCGCGCGTAACGTCACAGCTTGGACAATTCGGTTCGATTCGCCTGTGATGTCGGGAGTGCCGTTTTAAGTATCGCGCGATTTTCGTATTCAGGTACGCATGCGAGCAATGCATGCGCCGCGAACGCGTGTGATTCAATGTGAGTGCTTCGAAGGATCACTGAGAGGAGGAGGAGGTTCAGGAGGAGCATCGGGCGCCGGCGGAGCAACTTTACGGTAAGCAATAATTCATTTATTTGTTATTCGCAAAATATTGCATATAAAATATTATATAATGTAGCAAATATAAAATATTTAAAATACTTTAAATATTTAGTAAAATATTTATAATAGTAAATAAATATTCACCATTCTTAGAAATTTTTTACATATTATTTCAACTAATTAAACTTTTTTTTGTATTCAAAAAATATATTTTTGAAAATTTTAATTCTTTAGACGTGTGCATAAATAAACGAATATGAAGTTCAATGTGCGCAGTAATTATTTTATAAATATTAATTATTTTGAACACTAATCTGGATTTACTTTTTTATTTTGCAGATCAACTTTGCATCTAAACACCGTCAAAGAACGACAACTCCGCTGCTGCGCATCGTACCGGTGAGTAATTTATTTTACTTTAATATTATTGAGCGAATAGATTTTAAATAAATGTAAAATGTATACGGTTAGCCTAACATAAATTATAGATTATCGAAAATATCGCACAACGATAATGTTTCTTTAAATTGAGTGAATCTAAATAATTAATCATACATGTTTTATTAATTATCACGTAGAATTACATCGTTTATTTTTCGATAAACAATGTTTCAATCGTAAAAATTATTTAATCTCGCAAATAAAGCGGTTATTGAAATTTTATGTACCAAGTTCATTCAAAGTGACTGCGTTTTTCCGAGCATATTGTGTCCCTTCACCGTTGGTGAAGGGCATCAGCTGGAAGCACCTGTCTTTCAGCGTGGAAGTCCATTTGATTGCCAGCAAGACTCGTTAAAAGCGAATGAATAGAATGGTGTGTCGACGATTGACATGCGTGATCGCACAGAACGCAACGGTTAAGAATTGTGCAACGCAACGCGGTTTTAGTCGAATAATATAAAATAAAAAAATAAATTATCGTGTAATGAACGATTTACAATTTTTGAGATTCAATAATTATAGCCGTAGAAAATAATTACAGCTGTACGTCATGTAGAAAGACGCGATGAAAAGACGTTAACGCATTCGGGATAGTTTTATCGTCTCGTTGAGGCATGCGTCGATCGGCTGAAGGTATGCAAGAACTATTCCGGCATTGCCGTGTTGTCGACTGGCTTTTAAAGTATTTTACAAGAGATAAACCTCGCAATCTTGAGAGGAGTCGGGTACAATTATTAAGAACCGTTAATTTTTAACGTATTTTAATATTTAAACGATCTTTTTATTTTTGTCTCAGGACGGAAAGTCGTCGTTGAAGAGTATAGTTGCTTTGTGCTCGTTGGGTCAACTAATTTAACTATGTAAATATCATATATTACTTCGGCCAGTTGGCTGCGGCGATCTGCCACGACCATTATACACAATGTTTCCTGGTCGTTGCTTTTCAGCGCATCTTCTTGCGTGTCTTTTATGAAAATATAACAATGACTCGTTCTTGTCTAATTGACGAATAAATAAATCAAGAGTATATATTTATAAAAATTTATAAAAATTTAATGAAAAGAATGTTAATTGGTTGTTTATTCCAATTGGAAAATTTAATGATGTATGTTCCATAAATTTTATCTTCTGCATTAAAACACGTAGTACGATTTTTTCTTAAAGAATTTGGACCGTTAGTTATTTAACGATTTCCATCGCTGACTGCTCGATTTGTCGTTAGTTGTTTATTTATTCCTTAGAGCCTTAGAGTCAAACTCACGTGGCAACACGGATGCGAAATCCGTCTACAAATGCCTTCTCCTTCGTTGCGTTCCTTCTGTATGCTCTTTTTATCCTATGCGCTATCGCGAAGGTAACTGGGAACGAGACAAATGCGGAAGGAACGTTTCCGCCTCCTTCCTCTTTGCGCGCGTAAACACAATGTACACGACACAAGCAAGGTACGCTCGCCGTTGTCTCCTAGCGAGTCCTGAGATTAAGAGCTCTCACCTTGATAGGACTCCTAGAAAATGGTTGACACTATAGCGGTGAGATAGGGTAAGGTGACTAGATGGAAAACCTTCGGGGAAAATATATCTTTCTTGGCGCTCCAGCGTTACGGGATGGGAAAACAGAGAACTCGATACTTGAAGGGATGTTCTTTCGATAGTCTCCGCCCACCTCTGCAGCAGACTAATAGCAAGAAAATCTTGTATATGTACATACAAGCTTGTTAGCTTTATTGATACCTTACGTGGCACATTTATGAGTCATTTGAATCTAGACTTTTTAATTATCAAAGACTACAAAAAATGTTGAAAAAAATTATACGCCTAGTTTAAGATTTTTAAAAGATGACTGCATGTTTGAAAAGAAAAGAGATACAATTCAATATTTTATTTTAGTACATAAACAAGTTCAAAATAGCACGGATACGAAAGGTATGGTCCATTTATACCTTTAAGAGTTAAATGTCGACAATTGTCTCATCTGAATTTTTGACATTGTTTGCACTAGTTCCTTTATTGTATATGCTACATTTCACATTGAACCGCATTGCGGATAGTTTTCTTTTCTTCGGGAATAGATATCTCTGTCGCCAGTCGACGATCTTTTATGTAGGAGTATGACTTCGTCTTTTCGGCTATTGTTCTTGTAAAATGAAGAGGAGATCGCGAGACATCTGTGTAGCTTTCCGCATCGCGCGTACTTTCTTCTATTCTTATCGCAATTTTGTATCATGAGACGACTATAACAATAGAAGAATTTCTTTTCATCTATACGGATGTGTGCGATATTTATTTAAAGACAACGCGGAATTTTTTTGCGAATAACGCCATTGAGAGTTGATGCAAAGTTATAAATATCGCAATAAAATTCATATTGTCATTAAGTCGTTAATATATGAGGGCGAATTAAAATTTTCAAAAAAATCTCTTAGTTTTAAACACAACTAAAAAATTGTTTTTTTCGAGATCAAAAAATTGTCGGACTGCTAAAAGAAACATATCGAAAAATATAATAATTTTATAGAAGAAATAACTATCTGTATAAAAACCGTTATTTAAATTTTTACCAAATTTAAAATCTATTATTTGACTTTTTATAATAAATATAATAAAAGTATTATGAATAACAACTTTTTGAAAACTCTCATATTTGCCGTCATTGTTCACGTTTCTATTTTAAGATAGAAGAATATTCATTTCCTGTTTTCTAAAGGTAAAATATGATTCTTCACCTTCAGTGAATGCTTTCATTGACTATCCTCTTATTAAGATCAATGTGTACACCTTGATAACACAACGGCTTTCATGCCTTCTGTCTTTTGCTTGCTTTGTAAACGGATTAACCGTTCCAACAGTTAGGCGAAATTCACATACGTTACAGGCGATCGATAAACGTTTTTATCCGTTTTCGCGAACTTAACATGTTCTTGCAAATTTTTGTTTTATACACCATGCATTTGATTTTATTAAGACAGATAATAGAGTTAAAAGATTAAAGGGTCAACAGTTTCACTTGAATTCCAAGTGCAAGTTAGGGTTCTATTCGACTTTCAAGAATATCTGTACGTCGTTATGTTTTACGTAAATGTTAGTGCAATTTTGTTCTCTTGCAATTTGCGTTGCCACTGGAGCTTTAAAACTTACTTTTGCAGCAATATAGGTTGGTTAATTGGCTTTTTAATCAGTTGTAATTGGTGACATCATCATACACGTATTGCACATCAAATTAAATGAAATTATGAAGATGGGACAAATTGGAAAAGGATTTAGAAAAAGATTACAAGGGCGTTCTTATAAGATAAACGCAATTCATAGCCGCTCATCCGAGAAAGTAGTCCGCGCTATCGTGTTTCGAGGACAATGGATGTAGTACGGTGATACCGAAATAGATATTTGCTCTCCGCCGTCGGAAATCTGTGACCTCCCGCGCTTTTCATGTGAACCCTTGAAGGCATTTCTTTGCCGCGCGAAGCAGCACCACGAAATTGGAGGCCATTCCTTGGGAGACATAATCGTACCCGCGAACGGCCGCGTTGCGGATAACGTGTCATGGAGCTCGATCGAGAACCATTCGAGCGCGTCGGATGCCAATCGCAGGAGGCAATGTAGATAAACCTGGCAAGCGGCTATGATGCGAATGGCCGTAAACATCCTTCCTCGCGATCTTGGAAAGTGTGAGCGCGTTACAGACGTGAAAACCGAAGCAAAACTTCTTCGAAAGGAAACTTCGATGTGTGATCGAGAATAATATCAGATAATTTAAAAAATCTTCGCGTTTTCAAAGCCCTTTTTACTTAAAGATCCATTGAAATTTTTGAATTAACATATAATAGATCAATCAATGTAGCAATTGAAAATTATTTGTCAAAAATTGTCCAAAAAGAGGAAAATTATTTTGACGATTAATTCTATTTTGACAATAAAATTTATAGAAAAATACGTGAAAACTTTTAAAATGATATACGTACAGTGATACATCAAGTATCATAAATATAATGCTTTTGCTACACTGATTAAGCAAATTATTTTCATGTAGAATATTTCAATTTAACAATTTTTGCACAAAAATTGTTTCAGAGCATCTATCATAATAAACGTGAGGTGTGTACAAAGATTATTATTTGTCTGACAATCAGATTAAAATATGATGAACGAAAAAATAGGAAAAAAACGAGATAATATCTTTTTTTCTTATCACCATTATATTTTTGCCGTCACATTCAAACCGTCATATTTTATGCATCTAATCAAGATGCGTTTTCTCGGAAAATTTCCATATAGCAATGTGTCTGCAGTACACTATGCATCATCTCGGTTGGTTTACGCGAAACGTTTGAACGAGAGATATTCTCGCGAACGTATTTCTGCATGCGTACGTAAAAAGCTGCAGTTTCTCGCTTCTTCAACGACTGCGTAAAAAATCAGGCTTTATGTGAGCGTCAGTATGCTAGCCGCGGTTCCGTGTATAGGTGTGTTTACGGCTATTACACGGCGAGCAACATTCCGCATTAAATAAGTTCCAGCGAAACCGTATATAGCTTTACAAGCAAACGGACAAGCGAACAGAGAAGACGAGATATCCAAGCATACTGACTTTCGAGAAGCTTTCAAAGTGTCCTGCTTTTATAACTTGCAGTAACTGGTGCCATTATCCTGTGCGCCGTTAAACCGTAATGCGGCACATGGTAAGGGGCCTTCCCTGAGAACCTTTCCTCTATCGAAAGCACCATGGCTTGTAATACCGGAACGTGTCGCGAACGCGCACGTAGCTCGCCTTCCTCCGTGCTCGTATACACTATCCTTTTCGCCAAGTAAACGCCATCAATTCGAATTTATATCCTGATGACCTTACCTTGTTGGTAACACGAATAACGAGAAAGAAACTTGGAAGAGCTTTTTAATATAACTAACTATTTTGGAAGATGGAGTTTTTTTTTATTATATTTTGCCAAGTTTTCTCTGAATTTT